ACATGTGACAGCCAGGGCGAACGCCTCCTGCAGGGGTTGAACCAGAGCCGCGTGGCTGACGCGGCAGGGTAAGAAGCTGCCTCTGTCCCTAAACCTTGGGGTGAAGGTGTAGGTCAGGGTGAGGTTAAAGGTCCCGTCCGGGTTCCTCTGCAGGGGAGAATATGTGGATTCAGGCCGAACCCGCCCGTCTCTCAGCCACATGACGGCAATGTCCCGGGGGTAGAATCCCCACACGTGGCAGGGGAAGGAGGTTGTTGTGAATTTCGTTCCCGATCGCTGGGGGATGGAGATCCTGGGAGCGTCTGGAAATAAGGGAGAGAGGCAGAGTTGGAATCCGATGCACCGAGAGGCAAACGGCCCTGGTCGGTCTGAGCTCCCTGGGATCCTGCAGGAGCGAAAGGCCCATTTGCCTGGCTGGGCCAAGGACACGTTTGTGTGGCCCCAACTGATCCAGTGCTGCAGGGGACAGCCAGGGAACTGGTCCTGCCCCATAGCTCCTTCTCCGCCCTGGTCAGTCTGGCCTCAGCAGCTCCCCCTGCTCCCCACATGCTGCTGGCTCTGCCCACAAACGCCAGGGAGCTGCTGGATATTCCAGGTCTCTCGCCCCCGACGGCAGCTGGCTTCCCAGCAGCAGTGCCCCAGAGCCCAGCAGGAAGGGGGCAGGGGGGGTAATTCTGCTGTCGGAAAGTCCTGGGGCTCCCGCCAGGCAGCGGCTGCCAGGAGGCAGCAGGGTGGGAACGAGGTTTCAGTGAAGGTCTCAGGAGCGGCCGTCCCGGAGTGTGGATCTGACCTGAGCTTTGGAGAGCTCTGGCCAGGCCTATGTCAGTTATTCCCTAGTTAATCAGCTCTGATCGTTTGTGCCTCTGTGCAGAAGTGGGAATTTTCTGTACTATTTGTATGACTCCAGTGCGTGCCTCAGTTTCCCTGGGTACTGTGCATTGCTCCCAGTGGGCAGAGCAGGGTAAAAAGCTGCTCCGGGGGCAGAGCAGGAGCCGTGAGGTGTGTGTGTCACATAACTGGCTGGGGGAGGGGGGGGAATGGGTCATTACACGACTGGCTGAAACCAGAGGGTCAGAAAGACAAAGGGAGCCCCAAGGACTGAACAGCTGACACCTGCCCCCAGGAAATCCCAGCCGGCGAGCGGGTGACCCCAGCAGGGCTTTGCGGGAGGACAATGGACGCAGGTGACAGGAGGTTGGGATAAGAACTGGCTTTGGAGACACAGCAACTCTGCCCTGGCCCGGGACTGACAGACAAAGGGCCGGGAACAGGGAGAGGGAACCCAGGTGACCCCAGTCTCCATAGGGGGTGTACCCCACAGGGCCTCGGAGATTCACTGGGCTCGGTGGCTCACCGGACAGTTTGGTTACATGCCTGCGGGGCCGTCAGATATTTTCTGAGGACAAGTCTACACTGTAAAATTAACGTGACCTAAATTACATCAGCGTACGGCTAGCACAGGAATTCAATTGCTTTGGCACGTCCATGCTACGGCCCTTGTGTCGGCGGGGCGCGTCTCTGGTGAGGTGGGAATGTTCTTAATGTTCTGTCGGAATGGTGCGTGTGCCTCAGTTTCCCCTATGGGTATCTAGGTGGTGGGACAAGGGTGTGTGATCGCTGCAGAGACCCCTAGCGGGCAGGTGTGACTGCGACTGGCTGCCTGGGCACAGAGAACGTCCGACACTGTATCCTGGCAACGGATGGCCGGGCCCCTCTTCTGGAAGGAGCCAGCCGGAGGTGATGGAGAACAAAGAGACCAGGTGACGGGTTTGCCCAGGAAAGAGACAGAGCCCGGAGGTGGGCAGCTGGGCATGACTGAGGCTGGGCTGCTGGAAGGTGGTCAGTCTCCTGGTGTCAGACTCGGGGGTGTGGGGGCAAGCCCACGGCCCTGGGCTCTGGACCCCCCCAAGACGGACTTTGCCGAATCTTCCTAATTTCTGTGCTAACAAGCTGTGTTCCATGCTGGGTTCCCAATGACTAATAAACCTTCTGTGACACACGCTGGCTGGGAGTCACTGCTGACTGCGGAGTTGGGGTGCAGGGCCCTTTGGGGGCATGTAGGCTCCCCAGGTGTCCCAGCCAGGTAGACTCTCACTGCAGGAAGCTCACGGTGTAAACAGGGGGATGAATGCTCCCAGGACAGATCCAGGAAGCTCTGAAGACAAGGAGGCTCCTTGCCCTGGTGAGAGTGAGCCCTTACGGGAGACACGCTGCACTAGACTCCTGGTGCTGCCAGAGCACCGAGACTGGGACTCTCCACAGCTGGTGGCAGCAGTGGGATAACTGCACCCCGTGGACGGTTGGCTGCTGAGGTCACCAGGAGCGTCCAGCAGGAAGTGACTGGGAGCGGTGAAAGAAAGGAGAGTTAGAGGGAAGAGCAAAGAGATGGCCTAGAACCGTCTCCGTAGGAAAGATGTTGCAGACCTGTGCCGGGGAGGGGGCTGCACACTGGAAGGTGCATCGGGGCCGAGCTGATTGTGCAGCTAGAGGAGGAGGATTGATCTCAGGAGCAGGGTCCTGACCCACGCGGGGCGACCGAAGTGTCTGGGAGCAGCCGGAGCGGCAGCCAGGCATCCCCAAGACTCGCGTCCCCAGCCAGCGGGGGGTCTTCACGACCGGATTCCCCAACAGTGGCCTGGACTTGGAGCTGAGACTAAAAGAGCCGGGGGGCCACAAGAAGGAATGAAGGCCAGAGGCGCCGACTCTGTGGGTGCTCCGGGGCTGGAGCACCCATGGGCAGCCCCCCATCAGCTCCCACCCACCCCCGGTGCCTCCTGCCTGCCGGCGGCCCTGCAGATCAGCATCTCCCGCCTCCCTCCCCGCACCTCCCACCCATTACAAACAGCTGTTCCGCGGCGTGCAGGGAGGCTGGGGGAGGAGCTGGGACATGTCACAGTTAGGGGAGGGGGCGGAACCGGGTGGGAAGAGGTGGGTGGGGCCTTGGGGAAAGGGGTGGAGTGGGGGCAGGGCCTGGGGCAGAGCAGGGGGTTGAGCCCCTCCCGGCAGTTTGAAAAGTCGGCGCCTGTGTCGAGAGGACCGTGGCAAACAGCGAAAGCACAAGGACGAGCTGCAGGAGAAGCAGCGGCAGCATGAACTTTACTGTCCAAGATGGACTTTGCTGGGTGAGTCACTGCTGAGTGCGAAGTGGGGGTGCAGGTCCCACCTGGCTTCCCCAGGTGTCCCGCCCAAGTGGACCTGCTGTGGGACGTGCACGGGGAGAACAGGGACGCTGAATGCTCGGAGGTCAGAACCAGGAAGGTGAAAAGGTCCCCAAGGGGGGCAGCACGCTACACCAGAGTCTGGGTGAGCCCCACACCGAGCAGTTCCAATGCACCGAAACTGCGACTCGGTGAGACCTGGGGTGGGGGGTGGGAAAACCACAACCCATGGACGGTTGGCTGCTGAGGTGTGACGAAGCAGGGAGTTTTCTTCTTGTTTTTACTGGTTTGCATGCAGAGGGCGTAGGTGTCACGGAGTGTGGGGGGACACAAGGCCCTGCACCCCCGGCTTCCTGCGATTG